CTAGCCATTACTTTTTACACTTATACCAGCCAAATGTTTCATATCACATATAAAATACCACTATTTTGACTGGAATACACCTTTTCATGCATAGGTAAGGTGGCATATATGTAAAAGTAAAGTTAGATGTTAGATATGTAAATACATAGGAATTGAGTGGTATGTATGTAAAGATTCCTATATTAAAGCATCATCCATGGACAGTATGGATGAACAAGTCATCTTCAGTTTTCAACTCTATGAATGAGTTACAAATGAAATTTGCCCGGAGGGTTGTTGTTTTTCTTATTAATTATCTTCTTTAGATGGCATATCACATCAATGCGCATGAGAGTGTTAGGGTTAGTTCATATTGGAGAGTTGAAAGATATGTGTTTGTAGAAATATCTATAATTAACCTTTACCTATAGTATGCTTGAGTTTTTGGGTTAAAAAAGTGTTTGATCGGTAGTATATTGAGCCAAAGTTTTGGTCACCTTTGTTACACGCTCTCTAGGAAGTAGTATTGGAGTCGATAATTTGGCCATGATAGAGTGATTCATGTGATTTGTGGGCGATACTGTCTTGTCGCGCTTTTCACCATCTTTTAGCAAGGTTTGATAGAAGGTGACGAACTTGACAAGTCCGTATGGTTGTATTAACATTTGGAGCCTAATTAAAATGCTTTTATTTGAGGAATGATTCCCAATGCAAAAAGATCTCAGTTTAGGGAAGATTTTTTGAGAAGCATGAAACTCCAAATTTGATAATTGAAAAATATATTGGTGAAGAAATTAATTTGTTGGCTCTCACTCATAAACTTAAGCTCTTGGGTTGAAACTATGTTGGACCATAGGTATATGAGCCTAAGTTTGGCCCTTTTACATACTTCTTAACATATTGAGTATGCTATTTCAAAATGAGGCTAACATTGCTTTTTAAGATGGTTCATATAAGCTTGGCAGTAATATAAAATCCTTAGAGCAAGGCAAATGCTTTGAGCTGCATTAAAATTTTTTTTAGGGACATAAATTAATGCAAAGAAGATTAAGATATCACTCTATATATAATTGAAAAGATTTAAATCCTAAACCATTTAGGAATGTCAGTGTCAACATTTTCTTTTTAATACCCAAGCTTTTATACCTCACTGTGTTGGAGTTTAAGCCAATCATGTTATAAGTACTAGGTAAAATTTTCCTTATTGTCAGCTAAAAGCAATACCTTTCCTTTTAACTTCTATGATAATTTTATTTCGATGATTTTGTTTATTTGTTTGGCTAACTCCTCATGATGACCTGCATTATTTCGTTGATATTAATATTTTTAGGATTTCTTATGAGGCTTAGATTCTTGGCTTCTAAACAGTGGTACAAATTGTTAGTGATTATACATAGAATACAGTACTTTACATCTTTTTCATGCTCAAATCATTCTTGCTCCAATTATTTGAGTTGGCCTTTATAAATCTTCATTGTCCATAAGTTCCTATTGGGTTTTTCATGAGATGTTAATCCAAAATTGAATAAAATTTAGCTTACATTGGTTCTTTAATTTTGTTGGATATGTAATAGGAGGTGTTGCACCTTCTTTAAAACTATTTCTCATATATCCATTGCATGAACATCTAATATGCCATGATTATTGCTATCATGACATCATCTTAAATAGCTCGCTACATTTGAATCACATAAAAATATAATATTAGGCAACTTAATTGCCAACCTGAGTCCTAGTGACGTTGATAGTAGTTGCCTTGCTAATCCAATTTTGAGAAGTTTATAAAAACATTGGATTGCTTCGATTTTCCTCATCTATTATTAATAAGCATAAAATTTTAAATCATGTTTAATGAATTTTCTTTTTCAAATTTATAAATGAACTCTAAAATTAGTTCATTGGAAAAGTTCTCTCTAATTTTGAAGCTCTTTGGAAAGTTTTGTCCCTCTGCCCTGTAATATTTTTTTGTTGCTTTTTAATAACTGCCTAATGTTATTATTTATTCGTGCGTCGTAACATATCGAATATGGATGTCCTTTCTAGGTATTTTTGACATTCCGGACGAGCTGGCGTGGTCCGTTTTGCCGTCAGAAATCATTTTGACGAATTTATCGATTTGTGTGCCAATTTTCTCGTGTCGGAAATATGGCAATATGGGTGTCCTTTCATACCAAAATTGGTGTCCTGAACGCGTTGACACAGTCCTTGGTGTCTTTCATACCAAAATTGGTGTCCTGAACGCGTTGACACAGTCCATTTTGTCATCAGAGGTCGTCTGGAGAAGTTCACATTTTCACCGTCCTTTAGGCTCAATTGAAGTCCTATCTCGTGCAATTTTGTGAATTTTGTGCAATTGGTGTGTGTATGTGATGATAAAGTCGTGAGGAGGTTTTCCTAGGGCTTAAGGTCTTATTAGGAACTTCTACTTGATTAAGTCTTCACACAATTGCCCTTAACCGCTCGTACATAAGACGATGGTTTTGTGACCATAAATGCTAGACATCACCGGAAAATATGAAGTGTTTTGGAATTTCTAAAATGGTGGGTATCAATTTCTAGTTTTCTAAGATGTTTAATAGTGGCTCCTAGAGCTAGATCTTAGGCTCTATGAAGAAGAAGGAAAGACCTCAGAAAAATGTGGTCAACAGGCACCCGAGGTCATCGCCAATGCCCTTGTTTCCAGCGCCTTAGTGCTAATTTTGGGGCTTCGACTTTCCGACCGCTCGGAAAATTGATGTTTTCTAGTTTGTTCATGGCCCCCAATCCTAGCGCCTAGGCGCCAGAATTCAGTATTGCTCATTTTCGTTATGTTTTGAATCCTGATTGCTCCTTTCACCTGTCTCCTGCATTTCAACACAAAATACCTTCTAACAACATAACATAAACAAACTAAAAGGCAGGATTAAGATGATAAATAAGCACGTTATACACACATGTCATAACGCCACGTTCTAAGAACATAATCCTTCCAACACCCGCCATTTTAAGTCTCAATAATGTATCATCATTTTGTTTTTGCTGCCGTCAAAATACATTGTTTGTGACTTGTGACACTATGAATACACTATTTACAAAAAAGTGTCTGATACTTTATGACCCATTGCTGGACATGATTTATCTTATTATCTTTTGTCAAGGGAATAAGTCGACCTGAGGTACCTTGCAATGAGAAAATTCAATTCAATGGCAATCCTCACTACAGTCTTGAGAGGACGTTCATGTTATCATTTTGGAAATGTTTGTAGTTAGATACTACCCTCCCAATATTGCCAACCGCACATTAAAGAATACAAGAATGCGTACTTATCAACATCATTGTCTAGGAGTTATTGTTGGACAACTACCCTTCCATTTGGGTTGTTAAAAGCAAAGTGCTATGGCACAAGAAACAAACACTTCACATTGTTATCACATGTGATGAGTTGTCTAAGCAGCATTGTGTGCCATCGAGCAAGTGTTGCATGGTCGTGAATTTTGAACGAGTTTGGTTTTGATTTGTGTTAATTTAATCATTAACATAGAACGTGAGAAAGCTTGGAGACTTGATCTTCACCCTTAACTTTCAGTAGTGCATGAACTTGTTGACATCGACCTACCCATGATTTAACCCTCAGCCCATAACAATCAGCATGTTTCACATCCTGTAGCGAGTGCAAAATGTCTTCCTCGACCATCAACCTATTGCAACTCATGACTTCCGTCATCTCAACCTTCTTGATTTACAATAATATTGTAACCTTCCTTTTATTGTCATTTATGTAGAGTGATATCTGATGAGAGTTAATAGAGTAAACTGAGAAATTAATTAGGTAACCTGCCCAAGATATATGTTGACAAATTACATAAATTATTTTTATTTCATTTCATTCACATTTATACAAACAAATTCACTCTTTTAAGATCATTTTATAAATATTACTGTCTGTTATAATCATGTGTGGAATATATTTTTTATGATTACATAAATATCAATTACATGCAATTCAGAGTGAGTGGCACTATCCTGATTTAAATAGAGATTTTGTGAATGAAAGAGAGGAAATGACTAATGATTTCTCTTGCGCTTGTTTTATAAAACTTGAGATTTTAACTTTAACTTAAGCCATGGGTTAAATATGTTTTCATCCAACCTTAAAGTTGCAAAATTTTATAAAAAATTATTACACTAGTTTTAATCTTTTGTTAGTTTCTATGCATAATAGACTTTATCAGAAATTTTACCTTGCAGGTTCAGTTTCAAAGTTAATCTTCAAATCAGTTATTACATCACATATTTTTTTTTAATTTTATATCATGTTCTAAATCATTTATTACATTTTTCATATTTTAAAATCATGTGTGTTTTTAACAAAAGAGATGGGGAGGGAGTTATCCTTTTTGCCCTTCTCTTTAGAATAATTGGCTTGTCTTTAAGGGCTATTATAATTGTCTATTGGGGTGGGTGGCCAACTTTATCCTTGGTGTTTGCAACTTGGCCTTATGTTCGATTCCAATCAAGCAGAGCCTTGGGTCCACTTAAATCTATTTTGGGTATTTGAAGTTTTGTTTGGATTGTCGACCAATGCCGCCTAATTTAAATTCACTCTGATTTGGCTCTTTCCACATGATCATTATTTATTAAGTCCGCTTAAATCTATTTTTAAAATGTATAAGTAAATCCCAAATTCAGTTTGTTTGGTAATTCTTGATAGTTGCTAGAGCTATTGAGAAAGTTGGGGACTTTGTTTCACTTGCAAAATTGCTTGCTTTTAAGCTTTGGTGTCTCTCATTGATAACATGCTCTCTCTTGTTTGTACCTATTATTACCATTAGCTTAAAGCTGCTTTTTAATAGGGACATTTACATATATACCACCCAATTCCTATGTATCTATATATCTAGCACTTGAAACTTTGCTTTCTTACATTTATACTGCCCAAATCTTTCACATCACATCAAAAATACCATCATTTCAACTTTTAAAAAGTGAAACACACCTTTTCATGGATAGATAAGGTGATATGTATGTAAAAATTCAAGTTTAGGTGTTAGATATGTAAATACATGAAAATTGAATGGTGTATATGTAAATCTTTTTCTTTCTGCTCCTACCTCTTGAATTGCCACCTCTTATTTTACTTCAACTGCCACATCTAGGCTTGCCTTTGGGTTTTCCATAGAAAAATCTCTTGATACTTAAAACTATTATGATTGTACATTCTCTTGATACTTAGTTTCATAAAAAATCTCTACCTGCAATATTCGTGCATGGAGAAACACTTGGAAACATTTTTTTAGAACTCATGATAATAGATCTTGTTAGAAGTTTAAGAACCACGAACAACTCAATTGATGATATTTATTCTTCACACCTTTATTATTTTCTAATATCTTTTGAACCTTTTCTCCTCCAATTCTCCTCCATCGGAATTGTTGAATCTCTTCATCCATCTCCCAGAATAATGGTGAGAGGAAGAGATGCCTGTTGGGAACACTGTGTGTTGGTTGATGCTACAAGGCAGAAAGTTCGGTGTAATTATTGCCGCCGTGAGTTCAGCGGAGGTGTCTATAGAATGAAATTTCATCTTGCTCAAATCAAGAACAAAGACATCGTCCCTTGCACCGAAGTCCCAGATAACGTAAGAGATTTGATTCATAGCGTACTCACTGCTCCAAAAAAGCCGAAAATGACAAAAAAGCAGAAGATTGATCCGCCGCCAACTGGTCTGCAAAATAGTTCCTCCGCTAGCGGCGGATACCATGCTGATAATGCCGTGTCAAGTGGCCAACACGGCAGCACCTGCCCCTCCATGTTATTACCTCGTCCTTCGCCGAGCGTACAACCAATGGTTGATGATGATAAGAAGCTGAAATTCGAAGAAGCTGATAGAAGGATTGGTTTGTTCTTCATCCATAATTCAATTCCTTTCAGCGCTGCACAATCTGTTCATTATCAGTCCATGATCGATGCCATTGCAGAATGTGGGACGGGCTATAAACCTCCGAGCTACGACACATTTAGAACAACTCTTCTTGAAAAAGCTAAGACTGAAATGCTCCATAACATCGAAAAATTGAAGGAGGATTGGAAAGAAACAGGCTGCACCATTCTATGTGATAGTTGGTCAGATGGTAAATCCAAATCACTAATAGTTTTTTCAGTAGCATCAGCTAAAGGTATGATTTATCTTAAATCTGTCGATGTTTCTGCTCGCGCTGATGACACCTATTACCTTGTTGATTTGCTTGGCTCGGTTATTCGCGAGATCGGCGAGGAGAATGTCGTGCAAATCATAACAGATAATGCTACAAATTATGCTTGCGCAGCAGCCCTCCTCTTAAAGAGACATCCTTCATTATTTTGGTGTCCATGTGCCTCATACTGTATCCAGAAGATGCTCGAAGACATTAGCGAGCTAGAATGGGTGAGCGAAGTTTTGGGGGAGGCGAGATCAGTTGCACGGTTTATATACAATAATGAATGGGTGCTAAGTTTGATAAGAAAATTTACAGGTGGAAGGGAATTGATTCGTCCGAAACTTACGAGATTCATGATGAATTTTCTTTGCCTGAGATCCATTGTGATTCAAGAAGACAACCTGAAGCATATGTTCGGTCATGCAGACTGGTTATCTTCGTCCCACAACAGAAGACCCGATTCACAAGCCATTAAATCTCTGATTTATTCAGAGAGATTCTGGAAATCTGCTCATGAGGTTGTGAGTGTTTCGGAACCAATTTTGAAACTTTTGAGGATGGTGGATGGTGATATGCCTTCTATGGGTTATACGTATGAGGGAATTGAGAGGGCAAAGCAAACAATTAAGATATTTTATAAGGGTTGTGAAGAGAAATATACGCAATTTTGGGATATAATTGACAGGAGATGGAGCACACAATTTCTTTCAAATCTACCTGCGGCTGCAGCTTTCCTCAACCCATCAGTGTTTTACAATGCAAATTATAAGTTTGATAAGAATATAAGAAATGGATTCCATGCAGCAATGTGGAAGATGTTTACAGAAGAGAAAGATAGGATTGAACTTACAAAGGAGCAACCAATGTATTTAAATGCACAAGCAGCTCTAGGGAGCGATTTTGCCACCATGGGAAGAACATTGAACTCTCCCGGTATTTATTAGGAGCTGTTTAGGATCACTTTATTTTTTAATCAAGCAAGGTGACAAAATAGTCTCCTGATTATTTACACACGGCAATTTTATATCCATATTTTATAAAAGTGTCAGATTAATTCTCAGACTCTTTTAACTGGGGCTGAAATTGTCTGAAACCAGTCATTTCTTGGGATTATTTCAGCCCACATGTAAAGAGTCTGGTGATTAAACAGACACTTTTATAAACTATGAGATTAAAATAACCTTTTGGAAAGAGTTAGCTAACTATTTTGACACTTTTCTCTTTTTTAATTTATATTATATATTTTTGTTTAATTTTATTTATACTTTGATTTAAAATAAAATATATTTTTTATGTTGAAATTAAATCAACTTGTTTTTTAAAAATGCTCAAAATATTTTTTTTTAATTTTTTTGAGTGTTTTTAAAAATAGGTTGATTTATTATTAAAAATAAATTATAAAAATATGTGAAAAATACATTAAACAAACATATATTTAAAAACAAAAGCAATATAGCATTTTTTCAATTGGTCTTCGCTTATTCATTTTTTGGGAAATTTACGTACGTATTACATAATTCATATGTATTCACACATCTCACCCCTAAACTTCTTATTCACAGACATGACACTTTGATGCTTTAAACCTATGCATGAATTTCACTTGATAGTACAATATATAAAGTGGTGATAGTACAATAAAAAGAACAACAACAACAAGCCTTTATCTCACTAGGTGTGGTCGGCCACTTGAATATTTTTTCTTCATTGCATCATATTGAGTGTTATAGTTTAATTTAATTCTATTAAATTAAGATCATTTTTTATAAAACATGCGTAAGCCTTTTTAGGTCTACCTGTATCTTTCTTAACATAAGTTGAATCTAAAACTATACTTTTCTAATTTAGATCATCAGATGGTCATCTAATGTGACCAAACCATCTAAGACGACTCTCTCTAATCTTGTTTACCACTCGAGCTACACCACCCCTTTCACGGATATATTGATTTCACATTTTATCTCTAAGTGTAAAGCCACTCATCCACCTAAGCATTCTCATCATGCTTCTCTTTTATAAGCCAACATTCTGCTCTGCAAAGCATTGCATGTCTCACCACCATCTTATAAAATATGAAAGTAGCAATAGGGCTATTTTTAATTTGATACTAAAGATTTGAATGTTATTTGTGTAAATATGAAAGCTTAGGTGTGAGGTATGTAAATGCATATGAGTTGTGTGCCACATATGTAATTCCCCTAACTTTTTATTGATTTTCTTATTACAAGTCATGTTATGATTAATCCAGGTGATTGGTGGGCAGCTTATGGTTATGAGGTACCCATGTTGCAGAAGGCTGCAATGAGGATACTCAACCAGCCAAGCAGTTCATACTGGTGTAAATGGAACTGGAGCACTTTCGATAACATTTATAACAGTAAACGAAGCAAGTTCGAACTCGAGAAGCTCGGCGACTTGGTTTTCGTGCACTGTAATCTACGGTTGCAGGAAATCTGTCGAAGACGAGAAGGTATGTTCAAACCAATAAATTACGACGAAATCGATGTTAGCGGCGAGTGGCCGACAGAATCTGAATCTTCATCTCTTGTATTGGATGATTCATGGTTGCATAATCTTCCTTTTGAATGTAGAGGATACTTAGCAACATATGAATAACCTCATGTTTTCTAATGTATCATATTTAATCAATGAATATTCATTTTATGAAGGAAGATTTACATACATACCTCTGAATTTCTCTAGGTATTCACATAGCTAACACCTAAACTTAAATTTTTACTTACATGCTACCTTACCTATGCATGAGAATGTGTATTTCACTTTCTAGAAGTTAAAATGATGATTTGATAGCAATATTTGGGTGATGTAAATGTAAAAAATTAAGTTTGTGTTTGATATATATGTATATACATGGGATTTGGGTGGTATCTAACATAATTCGATTTTTTTTTTTTTGGAGATTGAGTGAATCAAATAGTAGTGACCAGGATCCATTCGGCTCGCCCAACAATGATTCTCCTGCTTGTAAAAGACCGATCTGGTTGTGGCCGAGGAGGAATTTAAACCGTCTACACCATTGTTATAACTTATTAATTTAAATTTGCAGTTTTAGGTTAGATATTAAAGGGTTTTGGGTTATAAATAGGCCCCTGAGGTTGGTATTTTTTGACAAATGATTTATAAGCTTAGACAACTTATGAGGGATCCATCTCCTTATGTTGTAGTGATGTTTGTATTTTCAACTTGGAGATTTCTTAACTAAACTCATCAAATTTGTTACATATTGATTTTCATTTTTGTGGTTCTTCATCATTTTTGTAATTTTATATTTCATTTTGAAATTTAGATTTTAACTACTTTTATATTATCTTTTTTGTTGTTTGCATTAGTGAATCATTGGCCATATGAGTGCTATATCATCAAGGGCTATTAAGAGGATATAATAACAATTTGTCAAGTCTCTCATGATACAAAGATGGATTATAACTTGTAACTACTTGATTACTTTTCATGATACAAATACTTAATTGTTTGATAATGACCAATTTTGATGCTTGTTTTACGATGCCTTTTCATTTCTGGTTTCTGACCTCCCCTCTCATGAGGATAAATAACGAGCAAATTATCGATCGTCGCTCAACATTAGATATTTCCAATCATCAGTCATGAAATATCTGCTAATGTTTGATGTATGTCAACCACCGACATTCGATACATGTATTCTCAATCGCCTGATCTCTTATCCCGTAAGGAAAGGGATCAATCTGGCCGAAAATGTTACGTTTATCGTTCGGATGTGCGAATAATGATATGGATCTCAATATGCTCTACGTGATGCATTTAAGCAGCGTGGTGTTATCCACGTCATCGACCGCACGTCTCATGTGCTGGAGGTGATAGTTTCTCATTATTAAAGCCTCATATCATTTTTTTTTTTTGAATATTTTGCATAAAAATATCATATTCCTAGTGAGCTCTCTTTAAATTTTCTATATGGAGGAGATTTTCTTTAAATGTTAAGATGGTAAATTCTCTATTTATTATAGATATATAGATATAATTCATATTTGTATATTTATATGAAGCGACATATATATTATATGATTTATAGAATATTTAAAAATATATTTATTTTTCATGAAAAACTAGTGTTTGACATTATCATTAAATAAACCAAACAAAAATAAATCCGGCCATATAATTTCTAGGAAACTTTAGATGTAATTGTTAATATTGCATATAAATAAGGGGTTATTTATATTGTTTATTTTATCCTAATTTATTTAAAAACAAATATTTCACAGAATAAAGCTTTTCCACACGGACAAAATAATCAAGAATTTACAAATTTTGTCACCATATTGCATCATCATGGAGTTTGGTGAGTCTGACGTGGTATTTTTGTAAACTTTAATTAATAAGCGATTTAGAACCCATAATTTTATATTTTTCATCTTTTGCAACAATTGGGTATAAAGTAAAATGTCCAAATTGTTTGGTAGCGTAGAGAATTATTCAGAGTCCAATGAAATCGCGCCACACGGCGGTGACAGAAAAAAAAAAAAATTGGTCCGGTAACACAAGAGAATATTCCTCCCGTGTTATTCAGGTGTTATTGTGTGTTATTTAAGTGTTATTGTGTTATTATAACATCGGGAATATTCCCAAAACACAATAACACCTAAATAAAATACAATAACTCCTGAATACCACAAAATAACATAGGAGGATTATTCCCCTGAGTTACCAGACCGATTTTTATTTTTTTTTCTGTCACCGCCACATGACGTGATTTCATTGGACTCCGAATGATTCTCTACTTTAGGACTCCTGACAGAATAATTTTCCCACTATTAGAAATTTAAATTATAATTATAGCAATGTTTAAAAATATGGATAAATCTTGAAAGGGGGGTTGTTACGTAAGTAAATGCCCCTAAAAAAAATCTTTATATAAATATGTGAACAATAATATTACAATTTACTTTTTATTTTTATATCACCCAAAGCTTTCTTATCATATAAAAATAATTATTATTTTAACTTTTAAGAAGTGAAATACATATTTTTATGCATAAATAAAGCGTCATATATGTAATAATAAAAAGTTTACGTGTTGAATAAGGAAATACACATTTTCTGTTATTTCTCCCGACAATTTCTCAAATATAGTATTTTCTTTTAACAGCTAAATTAAGTGTAAGTATAATATTTATTCTCACTAAGGCCCTGTTAGGAGCAGCTTAGGATAAAGCGTCATATATGTAAAAATAAAAAGTTTACGTGTTAAATAAGGAAATACACATTTTCTGTTATTTCTCTCGACAGTTTCTCAAATATAATATTTTCTTTTAACAGCTAAATTAAGTGTAAATATAATATTTATTCTCACTAAGGCCCTGTTAGGAGCAGCTTATTGGGTGCGGTGCGTTTTGAAAACACACCCAACTCATTTGGGTAAACTGCATTTTGACAGTTTTTTCAAAATGCTGTGTTTTTACAACATTCCTGACTAGATGTGATAACAGCTTTCTAGCCGTGGTCTGACTTTTCAAAAAAATATATATTATAATAGTATATGCAGTGTTTTTTAACAATAAATTATTTTTCAACCGCTGTCCTAAACAGTCCTTTAAAATTACATGCAAACCATACTGCCATTATACAATAAGATAAACAACTTATTCTAATTCATCTCAAAAGATAGACATTAACACCTTCATTGTAACAGTATCTGCAGTGTTTTTTAACAATAAATTATTTTTCAACAGCTGTCCTAAACAGTCCTTTAAAATTACATGCAAATCATACTGCCATTATACAATAAGATAAGCAACTTATTCTAATTCATCTCAAAAGATAGACATTAACACCTTCATTTATGCAAATATTCGTTTTCTATAAGATGAATACAAATAAATCAAATGATGGGTTATAAAATAATAAGAATAATATTGTTATTGTTGATTGATTAATTTGTTTCTATCTCAAAACAAATCAAATTATTTAAAAACTTATCATGATTATATAAATTTGATTCTTCTGTTAGTTTTTGGCTCTTTATTGTCCACTTAATTTGTGATTAGCTCTCTAATTGCTTATTAAGGTGAATTTAAAGCTTAAACTCATTTAACAACACAACTAAATTTATACTCAATAGAATGCAAAGTTTTGCTCGTGTTTGGCTCATTAACGAAATTTTGTTCAAAATCAACGAAATTTTGTTTAAAGTTAATTCATAATGATTAATTAGCGAATGAGTCCAACACGAGCTAATTTGATGAATAGAATTAACAACACAACTAAATTTATACTCAATAGAATGGAAAGTTTTGCTCGTGTTTGGCTCATTAACAAAATTTTGTTCAAAATCAACGAAATTTTGTTTAAAGTTAATTCATAATGATTAATTAGCGAATGAGTCCAACACGAGCTAATTTGATGAATAGAAGATGCTAACGAACATTGAGCCAATTTGTTACCTCTATCCTTCAATAATTCTTGCATTCCATCACTCCATTCCTACTCTTATTAATTGTCTTCTTGCTAATATCACTTTCTAATTTATTATTATTAAATTAATGAGCATCATTAGTTGATGAAGTAATGTGGATTATTAAATTAATACCTCCATAGTTCTCACGTCATCTCTTCATAAAATATATTTAAGAAAAAAAGGTTTATGGAAAATGACAAGAAAGTTGAGGGTAACAAGTGAAACAATTTTAGGGTCTTGAAAGAGATGGGAAGGAAATGTGTGGCATATGATTGAAGTATTATAGTGTGATTGCTTGATATATCCATGTTGGATGCTTGTGGTTAGTTCAATATTGGAATCATATCATCCATGCTTAGGTGATGATACAAGTAGATAATTTATATATATATATATATATATAATAAAGAAATCATTGGTTTGCAATTGCTTAAACTATATACTGCAACAGTGAGGCTAGTGTTGGACTGAAATGATTTGGGTAT